AGTTTTTATGTGACATGGAAGCAGTGCGTTGCGTAATCAAGTGAATATCCCCAGACTGCTGTACAGTATCAAATTTAAATGGACAAGGCAGAAGACGTGTCGAGCACCGGATCAATTGATTTATTGTTCTGAGCTTTCGAACTCTTAAAGGAGTCAATTTTCAGAGATAGACTGAAGATGGACTCCTGTAAGAGCTCGAAAGCTCAGGACAGTAAATCAGTTGATCCGGTGCTCGACACCTCTTCTACCTCGTTCACGTAAACTTTATTACTGCAGCGCTACTTCTATTACGTCCTTAGTTTCATATTCCACCACAGAAGCGCCGATTCTCTACTTGAGCTGAACAAAACATCTGGCCTCAGTTTCAGTGTACTCTATTGCCCAATTACTAGTAAGGCTGGAAGTGCCAAATTAACAGTCCTACACAACCGTCCACCCAATCGAGCAAAAGAGGGCGTAATTTATCTTTCTGTAAACGACGGTGAATCTTCTGTAACAACATTCTTGAGCAAAATCGTTCAATTTGAAGGTGATGGAGGTCCTGTGTTCCGGTGTAATAACTCAATATAGTAGTCACAAAATTAGCTCAAATCAATCCTCCCATAAGCTTCTCCTGTTTACGCTTCCCCAGCTCGCAATGGTCGCATTATGCTCAATAAAGATTTTGGGTTCGGGGAATAAGGTGCGCTGGAGAAACAATTAGATCAGGCATTCTCTAGCAGGAATGCTTTCGTCTGTGAAAAGTTACTTAAGGTTAAAGAAATCAGAGGATGCTCTGACAACAAACAGATGATACGGCTTGTGACCGAACCCATCTTCAGTCGCCTTTATGTGCTGTTGCTACTGAAAGACAGTGGGTTGTTAGAAGAAGAGAGTGATGTCAGCCACCTCGGTGAACTTGTTGCCTCTGCCTACCAAGACAGTGATTGATATTGTCTAGGTGGATTAATAACCTTAGGGGGCCTGCCGCCAGTTGACATAAGCAAACATGACACGCAGGCTTTTTTGTCTGTGACGTGCAAAGGGTGCGTTCGATAATCCAATGAAAGTATCCAGCCGGGTCTGCGCTACCACCTGGGCAACCTGTGCATGTATGACCCCTTATCTGCGCATGTCCCCGACTTTCCTAAAATTACTTATGATTAAGGATACTCGACAGAATCCGAAGCGTCGGGAAAATAAAACTCCTGTTCCAGTGATCGCATCTTCTTCTTCTGAA